TTTGGACCTCTATGGTCAACCCGCCATTTGGTGTCTCCGATGCCGCCATCGCCTCCGCCACTGAGACCAGGTCTCAGGGCTTCCCCAAGCCCACACGCCCCCACATTACTTCCATGTTTTCTGGCTCGGGCAAGGTGCCGGGCTCGAAGGAGTATGCTGAGAGCAAGGCCGTCGCTGAGGCCCTTTTGGGTGCCCTACACACAGTCTCCATCTCCGGTCTTTTCGTTTCAACGAGGGTTGTAGGTCTACGGATACACTTAGACGAAAGTCTACTGGGCCTGTGGAAGGGAGAGGACAATGCCGTGCTACCCGGGGGTACGTGATAACTATGAATGCTTACCTTATATACTGAGGACCCTCCGGCTGCGGTCTACCGTGTTTGGGTCCCCAAATGATGTAATTTTAATAATTTTAAAGCTTTCTAACCGAACATTGCCTACCTGCAATTCGGATGAACTTCTATAGGACCTACAGTAGATGTGCTCTCTCATGAAATGTTACTTAAAATTTGGAATAAAAGGATTTACGTAGAGTTGTAATATTAATTATTTTACATCAGAATATTTCGGTCATGTCAAGTTGCCGGCCCTTGAAAAAGTTTATTTCTCCGTAAAAAGTACTTATTTTGTATTCGTTTAATCGCATTGATTTTCACTGCTCTTATAAATTCAGATAGATTTCGTAGAAAATATGCGTAAAAATATTCTTTTTTGTACTCATTTGGTAGCACATTATGCTTTCTTCAACCTTTTTAAAATTTTAAGACAAGATATCTTTCGGTTTAAGGAAATTTTCTAACCAAAATTACTTGTAAGACCGTGAAATGTCGATCCTTAAGCTATCTCACCTTTCCATCTGTTTATGCTGCTCTTAAAGTGTGCTATGTGATCCACATGCACTGCAATTGTACTAGCCCCGTGTTGTAGCGGTGGCCAAGGCTGCAATATCGCCGTCGACTATACACCTTGTGTGAGCCCCCAAAGAAAGAACACGACAAGAACTGGACTTAAGTAGAAGTCTTCGAGAAGCCTAGTACAGCATAATTTAAAGCAAGCGAACGCGTATGTACAAGTTTGGACCAATTAGATGGGGGTTACAAGAAAGGCATGACTTCATTGGCTGGGTGAGTCATGAGAATTGGCGTGTTAGTCTACCGCTTAACTGGAGCTGGACGCAGCTGCGTCACACAATGCACTTTGTGTGTAATCGGACCGGCTGTCTGGCTTGCGTTAGAGTCCTGTGCCGGCCGCGCTGTTCGCGTCACCACATGTACTCTGCGTGGGGGGACCGGCGGTCTCGCGTGGGAGCGCCTCGTTTGGGCGGCCTGCATTTTGAGTTAAGCTGGGCCCTAACACCCCATACTACCTCTTCTTACTAGTGTATATAAATGCAAGATTTTCCTTATGCAAGCAGTATAAAGCATAAAGAGAAGAAGAAGGTTCGATTTCTGGGACAACACTTCTATTCGCCTGACGTTTCGACATCCGTCGCGGATTGTTCGTCGGAAAGCAGTAGCAGAAGTGGGCGATGCACGCACAGGGCGTTGCAGTTTTTATAAGATACAGTCATAAGTGTGCAGTAATGACTATATCCTGCGGCGCTTGCGTGGGTGGCAGTCATAAACTGACTGGGTTATGCACGACTGAAGGATCACTGCCGAAGTCGTACACTGGCGTCGCCATTTTGAGCATTTCGACTTCAACAATCAATCATTCATGCTTTAACTCTTCTCAATAGTCCACTTTTATCTCTCTCCAACTTATGCAATATCATATGACTCACATCCTCAGCAAAAAATCTCTGATACAATACGAAAGTTGCGCAACAAAAAGGCGCCCCGAGAAGGCGGTATTCCCACTGAAGTATACCAGTATTTTGTCCCCGCTTTGGTGCGCTAGCTCCTTTTGGTGATTAAACAGACGTGAGGAGATGAGCTCGTTCCTGCTGACTGGGGATCGCTCCCCCTTATGTCTGATTGTAAACGCAACTTGCAGGAATTACTACGGCACACATGCCCTAGGCATTGCTTCAAAGGTCTTCGCTGTTATTATTATCAGGCCTGTTCGGAGTTTGTGTGACTCAAGGCCGAAACACAATTAAGCCAGGTTTGCACTGGTTGTGGATGCACCGACCGGATTTTCATACTGTGGTGCATTCCTAACACCTGTCATATCTACCAGCAACCGACGACCTTCTGCTTT